GGTGACAGCATCCTGACGCTGAAGCCATCTCGTCATCTGGATCTCATAGTCTCTCTTGTTGCTCACGTGATAAGCTTTCTTGGCATACTCGATATGAAGCCACTCAGGTGATTCTGTGTTGTAGCCATCCGCAGTCCCAAGAGATCGGATTGCGGACACGTAGTGAAGAAGCGAGTGAATATTGAACTCCTTGCGTACCAAGTAGTCGACAAAAATGTCCTTCACTTCATGGAACCCATCGAGTGCCTGCTGCATCAAAGCCAGTGTTTCTGACGTGTGACGCTGGTACTGTGAATAATGGATAAAATTGAGGAGGTATGATGCCGCCTTTGTCACCCGATTATCTACAGCGCCAGTGCAGATAGCAATGAAGATGTGTGCCATTTGCTGCTGCTCGTTCCCTGTCCACTGTGAAATTGAAGAGATACCCTTCGCAAAATGCCGCAAACCTCGGGTCTGCCCCAGGCTCAGCGACTACCACGGGCTCGATCAGGACGTGATCCTCGATGCCATTGGACATTACAGGTGCCAGATCGTGACATCCCGTCCTTTTCCATCGACTACCCGTTGTGAGTCGTGATCTCTTTCATCTCTTCCTGGCTTCATTTGTGTGTATCTAGAGCGCACTCCGGTGCAATGGTAGAAGAGCAGGATAGGAGGGGGCCAATGTCTGCAGATGCAATTGCTGCTGCTATCCAGGATTTCAAGGAGCATGGAGGGCACTACAACGAGAGCTCCGATGAAGAGTCGGAGGATGCTGACGAGTAATTAATGTGTTTCCAAAGACTGTAGCTGGTAGGGTATTCTAAAATATATATACTGCACCATTATACATCTGCACCGGGCGACAATTACTTCTGGACTGTAGGTAGACAGTGGCCTGAGAGTTACAGCACGAACCTGATTCTCATGAGCATGTCACTACTGGTGTATAATGTACAATACAGAGCTACGAGATTACATTTGCTATGGTACTATCCGGTATATATCAGGCTTAGTTGCTCTACTGACCCTGGTACTACAGGTTTACGGTGCCTACTTTGCTCAACCAGAGTACTTAGTAGTTTTACGTAGCAAGCAGTAGCTGCATGGCCTTCTATGTCAGGCTACATAAAGAGGGGGGTAACTACCTGACTACGGGGGCAATTCTGACAATATACAGCTACATTGCTAAGTCCTTTTTTGCTGATGTACAGGAGGTGACGTAGGTGCCGCTGTTAGGACTTAGCCATGTGAGAGCTGTAGAGAGGACTTAGTCATGATACAAGGGAGAGAGGGGATTGGCGATGAAGTCAAACTGCGGTGCGCTTTTAAGTCAAGTTCAAAGTCCAACATGTTGAACTTAGCACATGAGGCGATGCACATCAGTCAGGCGCTGGTGATTGCTTTGTTGCTAAGGGTATATATATAGGATGATAAGACAATCCTCAGGTAAGTGTATCTCAGCAGGCGCTTCGCTTATCATAAATACAAGTCTGGTATTCAGCTGGTAATGTGATTGTAGACATACTAAAATAACTGGAATATGTGCCAGCCACTACCAGCCGCGGGACAATTTGCTGATGGAACACTGAAACATGAGAGGCAGAGTGATGCGCTAGTCACGGCTGTCACCGAGGAGCTTGTAGGGCACTTCTGTCATGCATTGGCCAAACCTGCCAACTAACTAGTCTGTGGAAACACCAGATAATGTATGGGTGCAATAACAAAAGTTGCTCAGATATGTAACATCTTTTATATGGCCACACAGAATTTTGATTATTGATGAACCCATGGAGATATGCCATTGAAATACATGTGTAAATGGGCTGATGTTGCATATCTCAGCAATTAGGTCGAATGCGGAAAATCTGTGAGGCCTAAATGTTCTAATCCACATTTTAAAGCACCTGAAGGTGTTACAACGACTACGTGGTGTATTCTACGCATCTAGTTAGCCAACCTTCAGGTCAACCACTTTTTCAGCCACCACCATTCAAAACAAACACGCGCAAGCACCCTAACGCGTCTGCAGGGATTGCGCAGGACCCCTGAAAATACCAATGGAGGTTAGATACCAATTCCATAAAAAAGTGAGGTCTGGAGGCCGTATGTTAGATATGGTTGCGGTAAAATGTGGCAAAGCGCCCAAGAGGCCGGATACTTCAGTCCCGGTAGAATTGAGGCTCGATATCCAAGGTCAGATACCATTGTGGTATATACCTGGCTTCTCCCAGCACTCAATCACTCGCTTGTGCAGCCACAATTTGCCCCAGTAAATATTTGAGCTGAGATTGCACTGTTTTGGCAACATTGGGCCTATATATGGCATATTGTAGCGAATAATGCCTTATTTTGATCAAATTTGGCTAAGAAAAACCCTTGTAACCGGATCAAAATTTGGAGGTTGTATATCTGGGTCCCGGTAAATCTCGAGCCATACGGCTAGGCTGGTATTGCGTCCCGGTAAAAACAGCCAAATTAGGCGAAATTCGGTCCCAGTAAAAATGAAGGAAATCAGGTTCTCTGGTATCTAACCTCCATTGGTACTTTCAGGGGTCCTGATTGCACCTCCCCAGTTATATGCTGACCACCCTCCACCTGCCTTATAAGGGAGGCAATACGGTCTGACTTCAGGAGACTAAGTGGGAGAGTGTACTCGGCTTCCCGTCTGTTGTTTGTGGGGAGATGCAATCCTGGGTCACGCGGTGAGTTATTTGGCTTTGTTTGTTCCCTAATAGCGAGTGTCATGGAAATGAGAACGCGTAGATCACTTCACACTGCCAGGATAAGGCTAAGATATAGCTGAGAGAAATGCTCAGAAGGATGATTAAAATGTATCGGAAATGTTGGATTTCCGGTATCTTGCCTCTTTCCCTCCATATAGGGTGAAAAAGAGATCTGTTTGACTTGTATTTGAAGATAAGATGCATTTTCGAAGGATCCGAGTTTTCCGATACATCCAGATATGTCTTCAGAACATTTGGTACTAATGTTGCAAGAGCCGAAAATGACTCTAGAAAGCTGCATGCGTGTGCGCATTTGAGTCACAACGCACCTGAAATCAGCGCATCTGGCTGTGTGACAACCACGTTCTGGTGTCACACTGGGGAAAAGAGGAGGTCGTCTTTCCACTCTCCAATGCACTACAGACTGCACAGCTTCTCTCAGACCTCCTATATATGTTGTTGCTCCTGCAGTGAAGTTGCAGTGTCGCACAGTGGAGTTTTTGACACTTCAACCCAAGTGAAGTGAAGTTGAAGGCACTTCAACGTCTTCATTGAAGTGGGCAGATCAGCCACGGAATATCCTGTAATATTCCCAGATACGCATGGTGAAGGCACTGACTTGCCCTCATAGGACAAACTTGGGGATATCTGCATATACATTGTACTCTAAAATACACTAATAATGCCCATACCATCTGCCACGATGTACAATGCCAAAAGTCGAGTTGACACCTTGTCTTATGGACTCCTGATGAATTTCTTGAGCCCAGTGCAAACTGCCAGCATATTATGGAGGTTATCTGCCACGGCTGTTCTATTGTTATCTCTGCATGGGGTATGATGCAGTGATAAGCCTCAGGATCATCTGACCCCCGAAAATGTGGACTCAGCACGTCGTACAAGCCCTCCGGAGCTTATTCAACACAGCGCTCACACACCTCTAGGCTTCTATGGGCTCTAAAGAATTGTTCTATTTAGCTCCGGACTTCCTAGCATCCTCGAGGCATACATGGACCCATTCCGCGGTTTATCTCTGCGGACAGGAGCTCTGGAGTGACTTAACCAATGCAACTTCTAGCTCCGGGGCCCGCGGACACTTCTGTCGAGGGGCGTTGATAAGCCTCAGGATCGTCTGACCCCCAAAAATGAGGACTCAGCACGTCGTACAAGCCCCCCGGAGCTTATTCGCCACAGCGCTCACATGCCTCTAGGCTTCTATGGGCTCTAAAGACTAGTTCTATTTAGCTCTGGACTTCCTAGCATCCTCGAGGCGTACACAGACCCATTCCACGATTTATCTCCGCAAACAGGAGCTCCGGAGCAACTTAACCAATGCAACGTCTAGATGAATTAGCTCCGGGGCCCGCGGGCACTTCTATTGAGGGGCATCGTCCTCATACCCACCCTCCAGCACTCACTCCCCCTCATTTCCGTCAAGATACCGAAGGTGCGGACGCATACGAGTCACCATGAGGTCAGCATCAGTCAGCAAGTGGCCGGAGGTAATTAGCATGTGACCGGTGTGTCACGCGGAGTGATGGGACCGCTCAGGGCAGGTGGCGGAGCATCGAGGCGACCTCTAGGGGCTGGGGCGAGCAAGTGGGAGCGCAAGGGAGTCGTATGGTGCATGGTATAATGGCGGCAAGTGCTGAGCAATCCTGTGGGTAGCGGTGTTTATTTGGTATTTATCTCCCGATGGTCGCAAAGCCATTCCTGTAGTATAAATTGTACAAAGTAACATACAGAAAAACAAGTTTTGCACTTCACCATCTCAGAGAATTAGCGTTATGATCTCAGCGACCCTCAAAGTTCGAAAGCGTCGAACTTAGTGAATTATAGCCAATCCTAGCTTTGCCAAGAGGCCTGACTCGTCGAGTGATTTATCTCCGTTGTTGATTTAATTATCTCCGGTGAGTCCTACATAGTGAAATAAAATCAACCAAGTCTCTCTAGCAATTTCTACCACAGTGGGCACGATCCTACGACAGGGATCATTGCTTGCGACTTTGTTTGCAACTTTTTGGAGATAAATACTCCGGAGCATCAACTAGCATTTGTTTCAGGTGTCAAAGTGTTTGTTTTATTTTTCTAGGTCTTTCTACGGACTACCCTACGGCGTCTTACTCCTCCTTTCCCCCTCGAACTATTAAATACCCCTCAGTTGTCTCAGACCGCCTCCACCCATACCGCTGGTGTTAGGTTTAATTTTTCTTTTGGTCCTTGGTGATTGTTGTGTGTCTGTGCATATCAGCGCACCATCAAGCTGCACCACCACCTCCTGCCACCATCATCCCCATGCCGCTCAAAGCCGACAAGCCCCCCAGCAAAGTCAGGGCACTTGGGGGCAAGTGGAGCAACCTCAGCGCACAGGACAACACCGACGTGGGTAAAGGCAAGGGCGAGGAGAAAGCGAGGGATGCCTGTGAGGACAAGGACGAGCCGGAGTGCGTCCCACTCAACGACCTGCCACGGTGCGCGAGTATGGTGCATGACACTTAGTCACCGCTACTTTGTAATAGTGGCCAAATTGGCTGTGGAAATTTTTTTTGATTTTCAGTTTTGTATTTTAGCAGCCAGAGAGTCTTTGTATAGTGTCAAAGACATTTAAGAAACACATCTTGGTTGAAAAAGGGCCTCTTGGCAGGAGTTTCCCACATTTGCCGCATAAATTATTCATCAGCAGGCACCCATATATGGTAACTAAATAGCCTATATGTGTAAGTATTGGCCAATTTCAGGTCGGTCAGATTCATAACTCCTTCAATATTGGGTATTTTGGAAATCCATCTGGTGGAAATGTTCCTATGATCAAACTGAGCATTTCCAGGACCCCCGATAATATGGATCGAAGGGGTTTCCAGATCATAGATTTCGATGTCCAGAAGAAAAGGGTCCACCTTGTCCGATTTTTGCCCACAGGCTCTGCAATTTCAACACTTTGTCCGGAAAGTGACCTCGGCAAACACCGCCCAATGAGGCTCGAAAGTTGAAGCAACGTGGTCCCTCCCCCCTTTCCCCAGGGGAGAGGAATGCAGAGGTCAGGGCCGGGAGGGCAACATGGTTGGGCCCCTCAATGTCTGGCAGGGCCCCCGGCCCCTTCGCCAGCCTCCAGAAAATGTCTGGACTTTGCCTCCGGCAGTGTCAAAAATTTGGTCCATTTTTGCCCAGCTGGGACAACCTCTTCTATCCGTATTATCGGGGGTCCTGTGTTTCCACCAGAGGAATAAGGAAACCGTGGAAAATCTGACCACCCATAACCGTTGTACAAAAGTAGCGGTAACCAAGTGTCACGCACCATATGTGCTGAAGCGCAAGCCGCTGGAGGACTGGCCATGGGGTGCGCGTCGCTGTCGATGCCCCCCGCGCCGACGGGCCCTGCGCCTAGCAGCAGCAGCAGCAGTCGTAGTCCGTTCGGGCCACACCCCATCCCCCTGTAACAGCTCGAGCCCGAGGTACCGCGCCTGGAACGCATCAAACCCTCATACTCGTCGGCGGGTCTGCGGGGCTCCCCGTGTTACGGGCACGCAGGGGAAGCCGTCGGAGGCATAGCGGGTTGGTGTTCTGACTGGGGTTCATTCATTCTTGGATTATTGTAGAATGTATAATTTTCTGCATGGCCTCGCTTGACGTCACATCATGCTTCGTCTCAGCATTCCGAGTTGCATCCAATATGAGTGGGAAAGCATACCGTAGTTTGTTTGGGGACTTCAGCCACTTTGACGCCACCGCTCTGCTGGCGCGGAAATTGAACTTAGCGTTGGCTGCAGACTGCAGTTGCCGATTCTTACACAATGAGCGGGGTCGCGTTCCGGGACTCGAGCATCGTCGTTATCGACACCTCCAGGACATCCGTGCACGCGATACTCGGCCTCGGTGAACTGCTTCCTACTCCTGCCGTCGTGCGTCTCCTTTTGTCGTTGCAGTGCGTTAGGCATGCTCACGTCTTCACCCAGGAAATCAAAGCACGCGTCGGGCTCCGGAGGTCGTTACATGATAGCAATGGGCTCTCGAATGGGCATGCTCAGCCTGCGGCTTCTACGAGTCGCGCTGCGTCTGCCATACCCATGTCTTCCGTGAAAGTGAATGATTACCTTGTGGGCGCGCAACTGGACAGTGCTCTGGCTGCAGGGGAGGATATTGTCGTGTCATGGCCGTTTGCTGAGGGCGATATCAGTGACTGGACTCAGGCTGAAGCTATATGGTATGTCTCTTCCTCGTAAATGAGTGGACCGCGGACTCGTACCGCGCGTTCTGCGCACAGTCCGCTAACATGAGATGTTCACCGTAGGAAACACACCCTGTTCGGCCTCCTTCATCTCCGTCGCACCCAAAATGAATCCCCCGTTCTCTTGACCGTCCCGCCCACCCTCTCGCGCTCGAGTCTCGCGATGCTATCCCAACTGTTCTTTGAACGATTCAACGTCGCTGCGTTCACGCTTCTGTTTCGCCCAGTTGCCCAGATTTATGCGGGCAATGCCCTCTCAGGCATCGTGGTGGATATCGGGGAGGAGTATACAGACGTGAATGTTATTTACGATGGCTTCCCAGTCAGAGAATGCACGGAGAGCGTGAAGTTAGGCCTACAAGACTGTAGAGAACACCTCGTGAACATTCTCCGCACCAATCAAAGCGTCATGACCGCCATTTCCTCACCCGACGCACCCCTCCCGGAAGAGGATATAAAACAGGCTCTGCTCTCCCTCGTAAACCACCTTCTAGCCTCAGGTCTCGTCAAACCACCGGCACCCGCATCCTCCGTTACGGGCTTCTCCGCATCCGCCATGCCAATCGTCGAAGAACCGGAGGACGGTGTCACAGACATCGCCGCTATCGTGCTGGCTGGGAAAGAAAAGGCCGTCATCGAGAACAACATGAAGAAGAGGGCCAGCGCAAAGGCGACCGCCGCGGAGCAAGCGAAGATGCGCGAAATTGAGGCGATGGACCTCGTCGAGATCAAGGATTGGGAGTGGGGCGTGGGTGGCGCGGAAGAGGGGAGCCCGGCGGCGAAGAAGCTCCGCGAGGTCGTCGTCGGCCGCGAGAGGCATCGGTTGTGCGAGCCGCTGTTCGATCCCAAGTTGTGTAAGAAAGATCCCAATGACGGTGTATGGCCGATACACGAGGTTATTGGAGCGGTGGTGCAGAGGGCGGACGTTGATCAGAGACAGTATGTCTGGCAAGGGTTGTTCGTGACAGGCGAGCTGGCGAGGTATATCAAGGGTCTGTTTCCTTCCTTTTCTGTTGTTCTGTGCCCGAGTTCCTGATGAGCATGTCGGTGTATAGGCATGGGTACCTCCCTCCAATCTCGCTTGATGTCATACATCCTATCGCAGCCCGACCAGCACAACGACGTACAAGCGCGACATATCCGCGTACTCAAGATACCGGAGTACTTTGCAGAGTACAGAGAGAAAGGCGACGGCCTAGCGTCGTTTCTTGGGGCAGGTATTGTCGCGAAGGTAAGCTTACCGCTTCTTTACATGCGCTGCTCGGGTATTGACAGCAGCTCGGCTCGCAGATTGCATTCCATGACCCGAATGGCAAGAACTTTGTGTCGAAGGGTGAATATGCAGCTAAGGGACCCCCGGCGATCATCGAAATGTCGGCTTCATTGCTGTAGGATATGCTCCACTGGTAGTTGTGCAATATATGTGGTTAGGTGTAATGTTTTCTTGGCTATGACAATCAAGAGCTACTGTGCATGGTGGACTCTACATCACTACATAAATGGGCCTGAAGCTATATATCATCAAGTCCACATCTATGCCATGTCTGGTGGCCATACACCACTGCAGTGCCTTTGATCTGACCTGCATTGAGTGCCTGATTGTATTGTGCATCTCAAAATTTGTACCCAATGCTCAATGGTGGGTCTTCAACACTTATCCTTGGGTTGACAGTGGGTGGCCTTGACAGTTGATGATTACCTCCATGGCAATGCTTGATTATAATGAGGTTCTGGTATGTGAAACTGGGATCTTCATGTTCGGTGGGTAACTTTGTTCGAGACAAATATTTGAGAAGGAAAGGTAATTCCCGGGAATTGGCACATTCTTGACTAGGGGTGCTCGATTGATGATCATTCGGATCGATCGTTTGTGCAGCAATCCCAAAAGGGCCGGATGCAGGGCACAAACGACGAGCGAAGGACCGCACTTATTCAAAGCATCCTGACCGTTCGCGTTCGGTCGCGCATATCATTGAGTCGGAGCTTGAACTAACCCTTACACCGGGATACGATACTAGGTCCCATGGTCAGCGGAGTTTAAATTGCAACAACAATTGCAGTTCGTTGAGTTCGTCCTCGTTGCGCGACGAATTTGGTGGTCAACTCATTTTGGGACTGCTGCACAAACGATCAATCCAAACGATCATTAATTGAGCACCCCTACTAGTGCTTTTATCAAATAAGCCATGTTGTGGAGCACAATGCAGTGAGTCAAGGGATACATATGGTGCAGTTTCAGGGAGCAGTGCAGTTTCAGGGAGTGGTGGCAGATGAGGCAGTCACTGCATTCAGGGCATGCATGTTCACGGTTCGAACAGATGTAAGTACGGGTTGTAGTCTCGCCTATTCGTGCAATCGGGCACTGCTCCTCCATAGGGTTCGAATACGCGTTACTAGCTAAGACCACGTGCACTAGTCACACCCTGGAGCGCGACAATTACTCGTATCTTCGAGCAGACGCGTCTACAGCATATCATCTCAGCTACTCATAGTTGCTACACTCGTGCCTGGCTACAACTGTACTAGTTATTTCTTGACTCGGAGGTATCTAGTCGATCCTGAAGTCAAAAATTGCTCAAAGTCTCCGACACAGGGCAGTCGGAGTTTGAATGAAAACCTACTTCAGTTGCACTCTGAACTCAAGGATATTCAATCGTTCTTGACCCCGTACCACCACTACCGTCTCACCCGCAGATCTGAGTCTCGCTTACCTGTCCCTCGTCCCCTCCTCCCATACGGCTGCATGGCCTAATTGGCTTCGAAGCAACGCTCTGGCAGGTCCTGTGCGGATATCAAAATTCCAACGACCAAGGAAGAGCTGGTCGAGGAAGATCCTGCTGACCGATGATAAGCCCCAGCAATCTTCTGACCCCCGAAATTGCGAATTTGACACACCATACATCCC